CCAGCCTGGGTAACAGTCACCAGAGACTGTTGTGAACAAATATGCCCTAACAAACTGTAATAGCTAGAGGAGGTAGACAAATTCCACATACAACCCTACCAAAATTGAAACAGGAAGAAATAGAAAACCTGAATAAACCAGTGATGAGTAATAAAATTGAATCAGTAATAAATAGTCTCCCAACAAAGAAAAGTTCAGGAACAGATTCTGAATTCTACCAAACATTCAGAAGAGAACACCAATTATCTTTAAATATCTTTAAAATATTCCAAAAAATTGAAGAGGAGAGAATTCTCCCAGACTCATTCTATGAGGCCAGCAGTGAAGACTCCTCCAAAGACTGAGAAGTGACTGTTATACACACCTACAGTGATCTCATTTTTGACAAAGGTGTCAAGAACATACACTCCGGAAAAGACCGTCTTTTCAATAAATGGTGCTGGGGAAATTGGATATCCATATGCAGAAGAATGAAACTAAATCCCTGTCTCTGGCCACATACAAAAATTAAATGGATTAAAGACTTAAATCGCAGACCTCAAGCTATGAAAACACTACAAAAACAAACAAACAAACATTGGGAAAAATCTCCAGGACATAGGTCTTGCCAAAAACTTTTTGAGTAATATCTCAAAAGCATAGGCAACCAAAGCAAAATGGACAAATGAAATCACACCAAGTTCAAAAACTTTTGCACAGCAAAGGAAACAAATTACTTCAGGGTGGCAAGTTTTCCCAAGCCCTTGGCAGATCCAGATGTGCCTTCCAGTAGCAAAGATGAGCATTAGAAACATTAGAAGTCTACCTGATACTCTATTGTACTCTGGCTAAACTGGCACTCAAACCAAAGACACCATCTTTTACATTCTTCTCTACTCTTTCCAAAGGCAGAAGAGCCTACCCCTGTAGCCACTGCCATCACAGGCTATGGGGAGGGAGTATTGCATTCTACTTAATGTTCCCTTAAGGCCCAAGGACTCTTAAATCAGCTTATGGTGAATGCTGCCTGGTCTGGAACTTGCCCTTCAGGGAAGTGGGCTACTCTCTGGCTCAGGGCAGGTTCAGACGTGCTGTCCAAGAGTCAATTCCTGGAATTGATGAAATCAAGGATTCTAACAGCTCACTTGGTGCTCTACCCCCATGGTACCAAAGGTGCAAGACAAAGTCCACTTTAATTTTCCCTGTGCTCTTCTCAAGCAAAAGGAATGTCACCTTATAGCCATCATAGCTGGTAATGTGCTGAGTCTCCCGTGAAGTGGGCAATTCTCAGAGGCTCACCCAACTCCCTTGAATTAGTACCTGGGCATCACTGCTGGTTATTCAGGCCCAAGGGCTCTTTGGTTAGCAGATGATGACTGGGTCCTTCCCTTCAAGGCAGCAGGTTGTCTAGAAATGTGTGTGTGTATGTCTAGAAATACAGGCAGGGAGGTAGGGCTTGGAACAGGAACCTCATGACTCTTGCCATTTTGCTATCCTACTGTGGCTGAGTTGGTATCCAAGATTCAAGACAAAGCCCTCCCCAGTCTTCAGTCTCTTCTCTTCAAGTAGAAAGAAGGGGTCTATTTTGAAGCCACAAGCTTTGCAGCCTGGAGTTAGGGGGAGGGGTGATGCCAGCACTCCCTTAACCACCATAGTTGGTGATTCTGTAGATTTCATTCCGCCCCCCAACCACTGTCCACTTGGGCCAGTTCAGCACTAGGACTCGCCTTGCCTATGAGTTGCAGTCCTTGTGGCCTAGACTGCCTTGCAAGTTTATTTAAAGAACAGAGCACTTTAGCCTGTGGTGTTCAGGTGTGCAGAAATTCAAGTTCCAATTACTGGGATTGGAAATTCCCCTCTGACTGGGGCTGCTTTAAATCCTCCATATGTGGGCGGATTTCAGCTGAGGATAAACCAAAAATAAAATTCTAAGCCTTCCAACCGTCTGAATGGAGTCCTCCTCTCAGCAATGATATTCCAAGGCTAACCGGAGGGACTGGTTCAGGCCATGATCATGGGCAGGGGTCAGACATGCTTCATTATACCTTATCGCTTTTGCAATTACTGGTAGAATAGAGTCCTTAAGTTTGATGTGAGCATTTACAATCTATTCTCTCTGAAGCCTGATGCCTGGAAGCTTCATCTGCATGGTAAAACTTTGTTTTCTACAACCTCTTTTCAATATAACCCAGACATTACTTTCTACTGATTCCAGCCAGATCTTTAGATAATAACAACTTTTTCAACCATATGGCTGATATCCAGAATTTACAAAGAACTCAAACGGATTTACAGGAAAGAAACAAACAAGCCCATTCAAAAGTGGGCAAAGGATATGAACCGACACTTTACGAAAGAAGACATATATGAGGCCAACAATCATATGAAAAAATGCTCATCGTCACTGGTCATCAGAGAGATGCAAATCAAAACCACATTGAGATACCATCTCACGCCAGTTAGAATGGCGATCATTAAAAAATCTGGAGACAACAGATGCTGGAGAGGATGTGGAGAAAAAGGAACACTTTTACACTGTTGGTGGGAGTGTAAATTAGTTCAACCATTGTGGAAGACAGTGTGGCAATTCCTCAAGGCCTTAGAAATAGAAATTCCATTTGACCCAGCAATCCCATTACTGGGTATATATCCAAAAGACTATAAATCGTTCTACTATAAGGACACAGGTACACGAATGTTCATTGCAACACTGTTTACAATAGCAAAGACCTGGAATCAACCCAAATGCCCATTGATAATAGACTGGATTGGAAAAATGTGGCACATATACACCATGGAATATTATGCAGCAATCAGAAATGATGAGTTTGTGTCGTTTGTAGGGACATGGATGAATCTGGAAAACGTCATCCTCAGCAAACTAACACAAGAACAGAAAATGAAACACCGCATATTCTCACTCATAGGTGGGTGATGAAAAATGAGAACACATGAACACAGAAAGGGGAGTACTACACACTGGGGTCTATTGGGGGGAAAAGGGGAGGGCCAGTAGGAGGGGGAGGTGGGGAGGGATAGTCTGGGGAGAAATGCCAAATGTGGGTGAAGGGGAGAAGGAAAGAAAAGCACACTGCCATGTGTGTTCCTACGCAACTGTCTTGCATGCTCTGTTCATGTACCCCAAAACCTAAAATCCAATAAAAAATTTAAAAAAAAAAAAAAATTCTTTTTTTGAGACGGAGTTTCACTCTCGTTACCCAGGCTGGACTGCAATGGCACTATCTCGGCTCACCGCAACCTCCGCCTCCTGGGTTCAGACAATTCTCCTGTCTCAGCAGCCTGAGTAGCTGGGATTACAGGTACGCGCCACCATTCCCAGCTAATTTTTGTATTTTTAGTAGAGACAGGGTTTCACCATGTTGACCAGGATGGTCTTGATCTCTTGACCTCGTGATCCACCCGCCTCGGCCTCCCAATGTGCTGAGATTACAGGCTTGAGCTACCACGCCTGGCCCAGAAAAATTTTAAATCAATCTATGACCTGGAAGCACCATAACCGTCACCCCTAGCTTCCAGTTATCCTACCCTTCCAGACCAAACCAATGTTTGTACATTTTACATGTATTTGATTGATGTCTCATGTCTCTCTAATATGTATAAATTAAACTGTACCCCAACCACCTTGGGCACATGTTCTGAGGATCTCCTGAGGGCTGTGTCACAGGCCATTAGTCACTTATATTTGGCTCAGAATAAATCTTTCCAAATATTCTACAGAGTTTGACTCTTTTTACACACGTGAGTTTGGTCTGGTTTTCCTTCAGGCTGTAATAGGACAGTGCTGAGTTTGATGCTTCACGATTGCTGTACTTTGCCTCTCGTAAGCACTCAGAGATGCCTTCTGCACCACACTGCTGGTGCTGCTGTAGGTGAGAGAGGGCTGGCGTCAGCGATTCAAGACTGTTCTATCTTTTCAGTGCCTCTTTCAGTGATTCAGAGATAAATCCAGGAACTATGAGGGCTCATCTGACTTTTGGTTCTTTTTTTTTTTTTTTGAGACGGAGTTTCGCTCTTGTTTACCCAGGCTGGAGTGCAATGACGCGATCTCGGCTCACCGCAACCTCCGCCTCCTGGGTTCAGGCAATTCTCCTGCCTCAGCCTCCTGAGTAGCTGGGATTACAGGCACGCACCACAGTGCCCAGCTAATTTTTTGTATTTTTAGTAGAGACGGGGTTTCACCATGCTGACCAGTATGGTCTTGATCTCTTGACCTCGTGATCCACCCGCCTCGGCCTCCCAAAGTGCTGGGATTACAGGCGTGAGCCACCGCGCCTGGCCCGATTTTTGGTTCTTATAAATGGTGTTTTCTGAGTAGATAGTTGTTAAATTGGTGTCCCTGCAGCAGGGGAACAATTGGTGGAGACTTCTGTTCTTCCATTTTGCTCTGCCTCTCAGAAAATTCCCTAGAAAATTAATCTGCGGAAGTCCTAAAACAGTACTTCAGAATTTGAATGTATTTGGAGATGGGATCTTTAATGAGGTAATTAATATGCCCGAAGATTTTTATTTATCTAATTTATCATTTATTTATTCATTTATTCAAGTAGCACCATTTAACAAACCTTCCTGGTCTTCCAAGCTCTAGTTATTGTACCACCAATGGACCTCTTTCTGTACTTGACAATTCTTCTTAAATTATCACTTCAGTCATGAATTCAACTTGCATATTTGAGAATAGATGTGGACTCCTCAGACCCTAATTATGTAAATACTTTTATAGTACCAAATATTCCAGCCATCTCTAGATCAACAATCCAGTTATTTCTTTAACTCAAAATAGGTCCATGGTAACATGTGAGATATGGCTGAAATCTTTATCTTTTAACTTGTCATAAGCAAGGACATCACATGTTTGGAAGTACAACAGGCATGATATACAAACGAGGCTTCAAAAAGGAACCAGTAAAAAGCAAGCTCTGAAATGTTATAATTATTCCAACACCAACCATTCAGACATAGGCTGTGTAATGAATAAATGCAAAAGACAGAACAGTGGGGAAAGCATGTTTATTTTTATTATTTCAGGCTCCGGTGACTGAGAGATGGGTAAGGTACTGAAGGTTATCGATGCAAACTAAACAGAGAAGAGAGGGTTTGAATTGAGTTGGAGAGATGGTGCAGTTTAATTCTGGACTCTGTAGTAAATTGCAGGACCAGTTCTATGTGTCCGTTTTCCAGTGCTTCTAGCTTTTGAACTTGCAGACAAAGGAAAGTTTTTCCTCACAAGACACATCCTTCCATCCCTTGAATCCTACAACACAATGAGAAGAGTCAGAATGAGGGGTTTGAAAGGAGTGTGGCCCCTCTCTGGATCTAGAACTCATGAAAAGGAACAAGAAAAAACACTTCACCATTTCCTGGATGAAGATCTCACCTCATCTCTACCCCAGTTCCTCTGTTTATCCCCAGAGCTAAGCAGGAGGGAATGGTAAACAGGTGGATGGCTTCTCTGCCTCTTACCTGAGCTTGAAGTCAGGCTTGCACAGTATCCAGGATTGATACTACTTGGGGATCCAGTGACCCAGGATTTGTAGGAGACAAGGGAACCATTGCTCCAGTGCCAGCGGCGGTTCTAGATGGAGAAAGGCCAGAGCAGGGAAAGAGGTGACTTGGAAAAAGAAACACCTGGCCTGGGCGTATACTCAGTAACAGGCCAAACATAAAGCAATAATAAATCTTTTTTCCCCATGAATAGAACATCTTTTCCTCTGCATTTGCTCTAAGCATCTCCTTTCCTGGAATGTCCAATTCTCTCCCACAAAATAATAAACGTTCTCAAGTTGATACCAAAAAAATAAAAGCTCATTATAGAACGTGGTTTCTTAATTTTCTCTCCTGAGACCCATGACCCTCATATTCACCATATCATTGGTTGCCCATTAGTTGTCAGTATATTGTGTAATATAACACCAGCCTCCCAAATGCCGTCAGTCTCTTTTTACATATACTCTACAAAGAGATATTGTTCAAGACAGACAATAATAAGTAAGAGGTGGCATATAAAGATGTTTCCTAGAAGTAGTAGAATGAGCTTATGTATAAATGAATGCCCAGAACACTTTGGATATCCAGGTTCCACTCATCTCTCCAACCAACTACACTGAATCTCACTGCCTCATACGTCATAGAATCTATAAAGACAACCCTTTTATTAAAAATAAGAAAGGGTAAAAGCTGTCTCTAGAGTTCCCAAACCTTGGACTTCCTCTTTCTTCTCAAAATTGATAATCAAGAGATAAAATAGGCTACAGACTGACCTTTTTGGGGTCATAGAGGCCAATCCAGATACTGCCAACATCAGTGCTACTCTCCTTAATCAGTGAGGCCACGAAGGCACCCTCGGCCTGGGTGAGCACAGACACCAGGTTGCCTGAATTCATGTTCTGGCAGTAGAGCTATTGGAGAGAAAAATGGAGCACTCAGTGGAGGTGGAAAGTGTGAAGGATATACTGAACCCTTATAGAAGATGTGACAGCTAAAAGACAGCACAGAAATGTCCCTGATGGTGCTGTCACTGACCACCAGCATCTCTGCGCTGAATGATGGGATAAAGTAGATTGAAAAGTTTGGGCTGATGATTGGATGAAGAGGGGATTAGTCTCATCTCATATCAGCCACTGAACACACTGGAGAGTGGCAGCTTCCCCTCCTTCATGGGCCTCCCTTCCCGCACTGCTCTCCTCACTCACATCTGCATCAACCCAGGTCTCAAGGTCTTCATTAAAGTAGTAGCAGTAGGATCCATAGGCATTGGTGCCTTCTGGGCAGCTGATCCTGGCCTGGGGCAACTCCGTTTGGACCTCTTGGCCTTAAACAGAAGGAGCAATAAAGAAAGATGCTCAGAGCAGGGCAAAGGAGGGATGGTGAGGTAAGGGCTTCTGAGGTTCCTATATAGGAACAGAAAGATGTAGTTAGTAGGTCATGGATGATTGGTCACTTCTGCCCTCCTGCACCCTACCTCTTCTCTCTCAAGATGTCTTTACTCAAGACAAGAGCGCAAAATTAATAGGCTAATGAAATGTATCTTCATTGTCCTTGTCCCTTTTACTTCTGAGGCTCAGGCTTTTTCTGCCTTTATCAAGCCTGTCTGATTTCTCTACAGACAAAGCTCCTCTCAGTTTCCCATTCCATTCATGACTGTCTACATACAGATGTACCCAAACCCCCATCATGAATAGAGTTAATATGATAAACCAGTGCCAACTGCAGTGGTCGCTGATAAAGGGTCATGCTAAGTTCCATCTCTAACTCCCCGCTGAGGTGAGGAAGTTTGTGAGTGGAATGAGATCAGCAATAAAGATCACTGAACAACACAAAAAAAACCCTGATGTTGACTCTGCTTTTTCCCAAGTGAACCCATATGCATGAGCATGTAGTGAAGGCTTCAGGGTTGGGGTTGTGGGAGGTATGAGGAAAAAAAAAATCTTACCTTGGCTCAGAGTCAGGAACATCAGGCAGGAGATCAGCATGAAGCATGCGTTGATCTGAGCCATGCTGAGCAGCAGGGAATCTCTTGCTTAAGAGGCAAATCAGAAATCTCTATAGAACACAGGGAAGAGGGTTTGAGCAGTGAAGAGCAGTGCATAGTTACCTTCCTTATAGCTTCCTCTCTCTGAATTCCTGATGGCAGCAAGGCCACCTGAGATACCCACACCCTCAAAATTTTTCTGTGCAGTTTGGAGATTATACAGATCCTATAACCCAGAAGCAGATTTGTCTCCTGCTTAGGCTTCATTACTGCTGAGACCTTTGGTTAGAAAATTATCCTGAAAGTTCCCCAAGATGAAAGAGGAGGAACCTATGTTAGAGTTGGCCTCCTCCTATAATACCCACTTACCTGTTTGCTGGGTCTGAAGTGGCTTGTTGGACCAGGCACTGGTCAGAGGTTTATTTCAAGGTCTGAGAAAAGAGCTGCATAAATTAAGCAAGAGGTGGGGTGAGGATTGAGGATCAGAGGGTCTTCTTAGGGCACTGAGACGGAGAGATTCTGGCAACAGAAATAGTTTCTTCCTGGAACACACTGGGAGTGATTACAAATGACATAAACTTACCACAAACAGATTGGCAAACTGTCCAAGTGCAAGTCAGGCTTTGCCCTTCCTCAGCAGCTACCCGGTGCCCAGTTCCTATGACCTTTAGCAGTTCTAGAAAGAGCAGAGGAGTAGATTTCCTTATCCTCTCTGTAAATATGGAGTCCTTTCTTTGATATTAAGCACAGGTTGGGGTGGAGAAGAACTGGCTGAGTGCACGTGATTAAGCACAATTTGCTGGTTGTTTGCTTTGTTCCTCTATTTCCTTTGTTTTCTCTTCTTTTTTTTTCCTTTTTTTTTTTTTGAGACAGCGTCTCACTCTGTCACCCAGGCTGGAGGACAGTGGTGTCATCTCAGCTCACTGCAACCTCTGCCTCCCAGGTTCAAGCCATTCTCCTGCCTGAGACTCTTGAGTAGCTGGAATTACAGGTGCATGCCACCATGCCTGACTAATTTTTTGTATTTTTTGTAGAGACGGGGTTTTACCATATTGGCCAGGCTGGTCTCAAACTCATGACCTCAAGCAATCTGCCTGACTTCACCTCCCAAAGTGCTGGAATTACAGGCATGAGCCACCACCCCCTGCCATTCCTCTGTTCCTTTTCAAGTTCAGGAACCTCACAAGACCTACTTCGAGGGCAAGCCTTCAGAGTTATGTATATGTAAACCAGTATGTCCCAGCAGGTGTTAGTATAAGTAGCTAAGCAGGTGGGAACTGTACAGTGTGCTAATGCTTAAGAAAGCTCAAAGTAGCCGGATATGAGGTTAGGCTTCCTTGAAGACTTTGATATTAAATTGACAATTTCTTAGAGTGAAATCACAGATGATGTGATGAAATTGAGCATTTAGCAGAATCATCTGAGTATTTGGTGAAATCATCAAAAAAACCAATTCAGAATGGAATATTAGGAAATAAAAACTAAGCTGATTGTTCACAGACAGGTGTATCAATTGGCATAAATAAACAAACGATGTATATTAAGGCGCTAAACACATTAAAGCAAAATAACGTAGATAATTATCAACATGGCTGTTTCAGAAACACAATGTCAATGACAAACATGTCAGCTCCAGGAAGTTACAAACTATTTAATACAATGCATAGATGCTTTAAAAAGATAGAGATTAATATTGTATGATATTTATTGGTCAATTCACATGTAGTTTAATGAATAGAAATATGAAATTCAAGAATACATATAACCACTTATTTATTTGCATACAGTGAGTTTTTAAATCTTTCCTTTGTTTTATAAAAGCTAAAAGTTTTAAACAAAGATGAAAAACATTAATACTATTTATTCCAAATGATAGCTTTATACATAGTTGTTAAATTAGTCCATTTAATTTCCACATTTACTAAAATGAATTATGCTTTCTAAAAAGCTTACTACCAGGGAAAGATGTCTTTCTTGTTTCTGTAAATAAGAGGTTAAGTAATACTCTACAGAGTCACAAAAGGACACAGTAGGAAGGAATTCAGTATATTTGGTACCATCACAGGTTGATACAGTAAAAAGGAAAGACACAATTAATTAAACAAAAATTAAAACAAGTAAAACATTTTGTGACATTCCTTAAAAATATGAGTTCATCTACATTTCAAAAACACTCCAAACCAGCAATGACTTTCCAGGTATAAAAGATTTGATACTTTATAATGCCTACTAAAATATATTATTGCTAGTGTGATATAAAAGAGAGATATAAAACAAATAATAATTGAGAGAGTACTCTCATAAAAACCTTTATTGCCCTAAATAGCTCTATACCTGTTGAGATAGTTACCTTTATTGCTTGCTTATATGACTGGCCAAATTCCACATCCGAGACCAAAAAAATTTAGGACATTTACTGGCAGCCACTTTGGTTCCAAAGTGATGCCTTTTTCAAGGAAGCCATGGTTTCTAGTCCTTCAATGCTTATCTTATTTTCCTCAGTAAGCCCAGGTTCTTTGTTCTGAGTTTTATAACATTCCCATAAGCTCATTTAAGTCTTTTTTTTTTTTTTTGAGATGGAGTCTCGCTCTGTTGCCCAGGCTGGAGTGCAGTGGCACAATCTTGGTTCACTGCAACCTCCGCCTGCAGAGTTCAAGCAGTTCTCCTGCCTCAGCCACCCGGGTAGCTGGAACTAAATGCGCATGCCACCTTGCCCAGCTAATTTTTGTATTTTTAGTAGTGACAGGGTTTCACCATGCTGACCAGGCTGATCTCAAACTCCAGACCTCATGATCCACCCTCATCGGCCTCCCAAAGTGCTAGGATTACAAGAGTGTGTCACCGCTCCCGGCCCATTTAAGTCTTTTCTACCAAATGCACTTTGAAAGTCTTGTCATAGATGGATATCATTACCCTGCACATCTAATGTTAATGTAGCCTCAAGTGGGGCAATGTCTTGATATGCCTTAATAAGGCTTAGGAAGTTTCAAGGCTATGGCTGATTTTTGGTGTTTTTGGCCATTTCCTCGTAGATATTCCCTGCTTTCCCACCCTTGAGGTAAAGATTTTACACTTATGATGGAGAGATAATCTCCCTCTGTTTTTGATCCTTGGCAGGCATGTGAATACTGGAAACATTAGACCTAAGAGGAAATTTGCTGAAGTAGTATCAGGTTCACTGAAGACTTTCGTGGTCTGCTTGTGCTCTGCAATGTAAAAAATCCTTCTGACAACTTGGCTTCCTGTGCTTCACAAGAAAGCTCTAGTTTATTTAACACAAGCTTTCACTGAATGTCCTTTGTGCCAGGTACTATTCTAAATGTTTACAAATAAGAACCCACTTAATTCCATGACATTCTGAAAATACACGTGATATTTGCAGCCATATTTAAGATATGAAGAAACTGCAGATGAGAAATGGCTTAAGTAATTTACTTCATATGAAACAGCTACTAGGTATGGAAGCAAAATCCAAACTTCAACATTAAGTTTTGCTTTAAGGTCATTTAGTTATCTCAACTATCTTTCTGAATTCCCTTGATTTATCGCCACATTTAATCCATCCAGCTCTCCCAGAATTTTGATTGATTTCACAAAATAACTAAATTAGAAAGAATAAGACATCGTATTTGTTAGCACAACAGGATAACTATAGTAAAAGATAATTTAATTGAATGTTTTAAAATAATGAAGAAAGCATACCCTGATGTGATTATTAGGCATTGAATGCTTGCAATAAAATATCTCATGTAACCCATAAATATATGCACCTACTACGTACCCAGAAAATGAAAATAAACAAGTAAATAATCACTTAGTAATCATAGTCATACCACAAGCCCCAAAAGAAGAACTTCAAAGGTTAATAAATGTAAGATACCAAGCACCTGATCCTTAACCCATAATTTAATTGGACTTTTATATATACTAGCATGACAATCACGTCTCTGTGTTTGTTTGGCACACAGGGAGCTGTTCTTCACCATCTTTGGCACAGATAAGAGCAAACCTCACCAGAAGTCACACAACAAAAGCGTCAGAAAATTTGAAGTTTTGTTGGAATCTTAGAAGGTTAGGAAGCAAATCAGGGTCTTTTTTCTCCTTTCCTCATGTCTCAGCACTTTTCCATGGAAATAGAAGCCACAAAAACACTAAGAAAAGACTAAACTCTTACAGAAAACCATCCATGATTTCTTAAAGTCTTGCATCCCTGAGGAGTTAGAAACCCACACCTTAACAAGCTTACACATATTTACTTTATTTAATACAACTATGGAGTCTCAGAAAAGTTGTAATTTCCTCAGACGCAAAAAGAGAAGCTACTTTCCTTTAGATCCTTCCTCTTTAAAATAAGCACTGAATTTAAATTCCAAGCCAAGTGCAAGGAGAGAAGTTCACAGGCATTGTAAAGAGCACTGACACAAGTTCAACATTTGAGGGGGGGCCTATTCCCGGCAAACCCAGGAATGGTCATCCATGAGGTCCTTTCTCACAACAGCTTGGTAAACTCTGCAAGTCAAAGGCAGGCTTTGTCCTTCCACAGCAGTAACCAGATGCTCAGTTCCCATGGCCCTGAGCAGCCCAGGAAGAAGCATGGACCTTCCAGGAATAGTGACAATGAGTGTGAAGGGAGGAACTTTGGGAGGAGGGGCAGTGAGTGTGTGAGCCTGGAGCAGGACCATCTGTGGGACAAGGGAGGCAGCAGTACAAGATGTGGAGCATCCTGTTTGGGGCAGTGGGGAAAGGGAGGGACACAGTTCATGGCAGGCAAACGTCATTTACCATGAAGGTAATGTCTCCTGACCACGCATGTCCCGAAAGGAGCCTGTGGAAAAAAAAAAAACTGCAATGGAAAAAGCTCAAGGGTTCTGGGGAGTGCACTTTACACCTCACTTCCCCAAATTAATAAATAAACTCTAATGCCCCAAATTAATGAATCAACTCTAATGCCTCTTAAGAAATGTTGCCTGATACAATGAGAAGAAAGAAGAGGAGGGGAGTGATGATGGTGATGATGCATTCAGCAAAAACACTGCTGACTTTCTGCTAAGCACATAACAGTGATGATTAAAGCTTAAACTATAATTCCTCTCTATACATGCATGATGCCTTCAAATACAATTTCCTAGTCTAGAATATTTCTATTATATTTATATTTTAATTTGTATTTTCTGAGAAGTAAATAAATACCTTAAGCACCATAAGGTGAAGTGATTTGCCCAAGGTCACACAGTAATTAGAGAAAGTAGCACAGCCAGAATTTAGGTCCTGTGAATCGGACACCAGGATCTGTATTCTCTATCTGTGTGTTCTATTGCCCACCCTCCAAAAGCTGTAAAATTCTAAAACAACTGGAAAGAAGGGAATGTTATAAGTAGATGGGATCACATGTGATTAAACTGTCCCTCTCATAAGAGGACAGTTGTTCAGAGAATTTAAGTATCTGAACCACCATCCAGCAGTGGTGAGAAAAAGCAGTAACTTCAATCTACTTCTAAGATCTCTGTTTCTTCCACCTCTTTGCTCTCTCCTTTTTCTGCAGACTCCAGTAACTATTTTACTCATGGTTATTTTGTAAAATCTTCCCATCCACAATGTCAT